GTTCACAGCGTCGACCCCCAGAGGTCTCGACTTATGCTGCTCCCATCGTGCGCAAGGACCGCGTCCCGAGAATAGTCTCGAGCAGCCAGGGAAGTAGCATCGGGGCTTTGCCTGCCCGACGCGCCAATTAGCGAGGTGTCGACCGAGCATGTCCTCCCAGGGCCAGACACGCGAAAACCCTCCAGCGTCGGTGTCTTCTGGGTGCTCGAGATTCTGCCTAGCGGTCAAAGCTACAGCAGGTGGGAACACATCAAGAGTCTCGACCCGCTCGCCAGGACGGGTTTCTCCTCCTGGGTCGTTCCTCGACGGCTCCAGGGGCCCGAGAAGAAGGGCCCCCAAGGGGCCGACAAAACAGCGAGAAAAAACCCTCCGCCGTGACGTGTGCCACGACTCGAGGAGTCCCGGGGCGAGGGGGGGGGGCGGTCATCGAGGGGACTCGCACCTCCGACGCGTTGGGAAAAAAGACTGGGAGGAGGCGTCTGGTCGTCTTCGGCCTCTCGGGCCGGGGCCCCTCCCAGGCCCGGGGACGGGGGAGGGGCAGGAGGAGGAGGGGAAGGAGGAAGAGAAGGAGGAGGAGGAGGAGGGGCAGGAGGGGGGGACGGGGGAGGGGCAGGAGGAGGGGAGGAGGAGGGGAAAGAGGAGGAGGAGGAGAAGGACGAGGAGAAGGAGGAGGAGGAGAGAAGTCGAGCATCCTGGATTCCAGACGTTTTTCGTTCTGGCCTCTGGGATCGGGCTGGGCGAGAGGGGGGGATAGCAAAGGGAGGGTTTGAGAATGAGCTCGGCGCCTCCCGGCGCCTCCCGGCGCGGGGAGGCGCCCATGTCTCGAGGAATGGGCCTGGCGGCGGGGCAGATTTCGTAACCCCCCCTTTCCCAATCCCCCACTTTCGTCTGGCCCGATGGGAAGCTATCCCTTCGAATTCCTGGTCCACCCGCACCCCGAGACAGGTCTGGAGGGGCGCTTTGGAAAAAATCGAGACGGAAGCTTGTCGTCGTTTCTCGACCTCGGGGGCCCTTGCCTCAGGTCGGGCATGTCCCCCAGACAGGCGGATGCTGGACGAAAAAATAAGGAGACGTCTAAACAAAATGCCCCCAAAAAACGGTCAAACCAAAAACGACAAAAAAAAAAGGGACAAAAAAAAGTGTTGTTTGACTGCCCAGACTAGGTTTGACCATTGTTTGACACTCCTTCTGTAGGGGGACAGGCCCGACTTGACCCCTGCCGGGCCCTGGGGGGCCGTCGACGCGCGACGCGCGAAGAGGGGCGCCCGAGCCGGGGGCGGGGTCGAGGCCACCGGGGACGGGGGAGGCGCGCGCGGACCTCCGCCGGCAGGAGGCCAGCGAGGAACGGCCTCGCTGGAGGAGGAGAACACATAGGGGATCCATGATCTCCTCCCCCTCCTGCTCGTCCTCCTCCTCCTCCTCCTCTCCTCCTCCTCCTCCTCCTCCTCCTCCTCTCTCCTCCTCCTCCTCCTCCTCCTCCTCCTCCTCCTCCTCCTCCTCTCCTCCTCCTCTCTCCTCCTCCTCCTCTGATTAGTCTTAGTATTATTATGATTATTAGTATTCCTATTATTATTATGATTAGTCTTATTATTCGTATTAGTATTATTCTTATTATTATTATTCTTATTAGTTTTCGTCTTAGTATTATTATTCTTAACATTATTATTACTATTCTTGTTATTATTCTTATTAGTCTTATTTTTCTTATTGCTAGTATTATTATTCTTCTTCTTGGTAATATGATTATAAGTAGTATTCTTAGTATTATTATTATTCTTCTTCCTATTATTATTATGATGTGTATTATTCGTTATGTTATTATTGTTATTATTCTTCTCCTTATTAATAGTATTATTATTATTCGTGTTATTCTTACTCTTCGTATTAATATAATTTGTATTATCATTATCTATGGTATTACTATTATTATTACTCATATTATTATTAGTATTATTACTCTTCTTAGTAATATCATTAGTATTCTTATTATTATGATTATTATTATTATGATTATTATGTTTCTTCTTATTAGTGTTACTATTATTAGTCTTAGCATTATTATTATTATTATTATTATTCTTAGTATTAGTTTCCTATTATTATTATGAGTCTTACTAATATTAATATCATTCGTATCAATAGTATTATTCTTGGTTTTCTTACTATTATTATTCTTCTTATCATTATTAATATTAATAATAGTGTTATTATCATGTTTATCCTTGTTATTATTAGTATTAGTATTAGTATTATTATTATTCTTATGTTTCCTCTTATTATTGTTATTATGCTTATTATTACAATAATTACTATTATTATTGCTAGTTGTCTTCTTACTGTTATTCTTCGTATTAGTATTCGTAATATTATTATTCTGACTATTCTTATTCTTATTATATTCTTATTATTATTCTTATTCTTATTCTTCTAATTCTTCTTACTATTAGTATTAATCCTCCTCTTCCTCCTCCTCCTCCTCCTCCTCCTCCACCTCCTCCTCCTCCTCCTCCTCCTCCTCCTCCTCCTCCTCCTCCTCCTCCTCCTCCTCCTCCTCCTCCTCCTCCTCCTCCTCCTCCTCCTCCTCCTCCTCCTCCTCCTCCTCCTCCTCCTCCACCAGCTAGCCGGCGAAAGGCGACATGTCAGTGCCGAGGGTGGTGACGGAGGGTCATGCCCCACCAGCGTTGCTATCCCTCTTCCTCCTCCTCTCTGACTGTTTTCTCTGCCCCCCCTTCTTCCGCATCCTTGCGCGCCGCCTCCCCTTCTGACATGACGGGGTCGGGGCGACACCTGTCCCTCAAAGGGAACGGGCCCACGCTCCAGGATCGGTTGCGATCAAGTCGGGTGCGCCCCCCTCCAGGCGGCTTTCGGAAGAGAAGCTTACAATACTCAAAACCTACCCCCCAAGTAGTCCAAAAAGAATCCAAAGATCGTCCCCAGGCTATGTTTTTTATTGTTTCGAATAGTCCTCCTGTAGGGGGACAGGCCCGAGTTCAAGTTCGCGCGGCGTCGGCACGCGCAAAGGTTTTTGACGCAGCGTCGACCGTTTGATCTTGAATCGATCGCGGCCCCGATCGCTCAAGGTTGAATTCAAAGTGGTCCGCCAACGCAGCATGAACCTACCGCACAGTGGAGACCAGCCCACAAGAAACCTTCCACAAGAAACAGAACCCTGAGACCCCAGGGCGCCCCATGACTTTTGGCGCGGGAGCGCCACGCCTTCAATGGCAAAACCATCGAAACCCAAGAGACCCAAGAAGAAACCCAGGGCACCCTGGAGGCAAGCAAGCTGCCCCGTGGCACGGGCCCCCACTGCACAGCACATCGTTGAGGGTCCCAGGGAGCGGGGGGGCCGCAGGGCGCAGGTCTCCTCGGTGGACGGGGCCATCGCCAGGCGGTCGATGGACGACGCCGCCCGGGGACCAGCAGGCCCCCCGCCAAGGCCGCGGCCGCCGCGGCCTGGGGGGGGCAGCCGATGCACCGGACCCAGCCACGGCCGCCAGGGAGGCTGCCCGCGAGGTCCGTCGCAGCCGCAAACGCTCGAGCCCTGACCCACGACGGAGATGCAGATCAGTCAGACGGCGTGAAATGCGACATCACAGCAACGTTGATCTCGGAAAGGATCCACCCCCATCGAATCACCATGTCCATGGCCACCGCGCAGGCGGCTCTTGTGCGGCGCAACATCAGCAACCCAGAATCGTCGGCACGGCATTGGACATTGCAAAGACCATGCCAAGGTCGTCACCTATCTTGAGGCGACGCCTGCCTCGGTTGAGCAGCGAACGGCACGTGCGACGGACAGAGATGAGCACCGCGCGACCCTCGAGCATCGCGACATGCCCCTCGTCGCGCCAGCGGCCCGAGACGCACTCCCGCCACCCAAAGACCCCAAAGATGGGCGCTGGAACCTCGTGGAAGGCCTTGGCGGGCGTCCAGCCCCCGCGGACCCAGTCGCGCGGCAGCACGGCCCCGGGGCTTGCGAAGCTATCCTCGACCGGGGGGGGGCGTCCGAGGGGCGCGCTCTCGAGGGCACCCAGGCTGCTCGCACTGGGATGAGCAGCGCCAGCGCTCGTCGGCCCTCCCAACCTGCGACGCCAAGTCCACGGGGAGCGAGGCCGCGAGCACGCCGCATCCGCCGAGACTAGCGTCGAATACCTCCACCTCAGGCGACCACGGCCGACGCGCGTTCGCCCTCGCAAACGGCAACATCGCCGCCACCACAGGGAGCTCCTCGACAGCTGATGGTCGCCACAGGCGACGTGGCCTGAGGTAGTGGCACTGGACGAAGGTGTAGCATCTGGGGAAGATGAACAGCAGCGGCCTGTGCCCGAGGAACTGGAAGGTGGCGTGCCCTAGCAGGCGCTCCATCATTGCGCCCCGTCACCCAGGGCCGCTGACGCCCCAGTCGATGACACATCTGCCAGAGACGCCCCCCCTTGCGGTAAAGGCCGATGTTCTCTCGCGCGGCCACCGATGGCACAGCCGCGCGACTCGGCCCAACGGCGGGCAGCCTCTTCCTCGTGCACCTCGAACCCCAGCAACTCCACCCTCCGCTTGCAGTCCTCGCGGAGGGCGGCCGCCAAGCCAACTCGGACACAGTGGAGAAGGGAGGGGGCGGCACGCGGCCCTGCATGGCCGCCCTGGGTGCCCAGCCCCGAAGCTCCTCGACCTGAACGGCGTTGAGCACCTGCGCTAAGAAGAAGCTGCAGGTCCAGCCCATCGGCATCACCTTCACGGCGGGCGCCACGCTGTCCCTGTCCCAGAGGTAGCCGAACAAGGCGTCGCCATTGGTGGCTAGCTTGAGCTCGGCCCTCGCCACGTCTGGCAAGCAGAAGAAGCTCTCCAGTCCTGGCGGCAGGCCACATGCGTTAAAGTAGTCCTTCACACCACTCAACGAAAGGTACATGCCAGAGCCCGAGCCCATCACGACCACAGCCCAAGAACTCCCCGAGCCCATCGGCACGTGCGGACGTTCTCGGAAGCGGGCTTCACACGTCTGC